CTACAAGTATATCTCTAAACCTCCCATTCTTTACCTAGTCAAAAATACAATATCTTTATGCAGGATATCCTTCGTTTCAGAATCAAGAAGGATTTAGGATAAGTTAATTACCTTGTCTTTCTCGTTCTTCGGTCCTAATCTGAAAATCATCATGCATACTATGGACCCTGGACAAGATGCGTTCTTCTAGGTCTTCTTGCCAGTATGACCAAGTTGTGAAAACGAATTCAAATAACCTCTTTCAAGCCCATAGTTGAGAAGAAATATCTGTCGACTACAATGTTGCTAAACATCAATCAAGTCCTCGTATGCACCACATAACTTGATTGCAAAAAGTATCTCTCAGTCAAAAACTGGAAAAATGTGATCTTTTCGAGAAATAGGACTTTCTCACCTGCTAGTGCATGCAGCTTGAATGGCTGCTGTCGCAAAAGCCTTAATTCGGACGCATCTCAGATCAGAATGGCAAAACTATGCATTTTTGAAGATTTAAGAATACATTTAAAGTGTTTAGCTGCACAACCCTGTCGTCCTCTCCTAGACTCTTGACCTCGATCATCCAGTTTTGAGTTTTACTGAAATTCATACGTGACTTGTTGAGCTATCCTACACATAATCTATTATCCACAGTTTATAATGAGCTAGTTGCGCTCTTTGTGAGTTTATTTCTAGTTGAGCTGATTAAATACATGTTTTAATATAAAAAATACACTTATTATAAATATATATATATATTTTTTAATATAAATATAAATAAACCGTTAAAATACACTTTTTATTTTCTCAGCTGCATTCAAAAGCCCCTACTGCTTGTCAGCCCAGTTTCCCACCAAAATCTTGCTTCGGGTTCAACGGCGAATCTACTCATCTTTCCTGTCTTCCGTCAATCTTTCAGCTTCTTGACTGGCTGTTTGTAGTACCAGCTTCACTTGCCCCTTATTCTGCAGGGGAACACACTATTGGAATCACAACCGACTGTAATTCGAACACTTCTTTCGATGAACCGTTTGGAAAGCGCTCTGAGAGTCAAATGGAACGGGGTCTGGCAAGAGTTTGGCTGGAAGCTGTTAACGCCGAACTCTCTCGTATGTCTAATGATGTATCAGAAGAGGGGCCTAGTACATGTGTTGGCGGAACGAATGGTAATGAGAAAATCATGAAATTTCCTTGTGCGAATGGCTGGTGCAAAGAAAATGGACAACCTTTTACATCTGAAAATATGTACACTAAAATGGATCAAGTAACTCCAACTTAAATTTCTTTCATCTGCTTCCTCTGCTTACAATTAGGCATAATATATACCAAAATATGATTTATGTGGTAAACTATAATGCTGTAAGATGATATTATTATAGCTAAGCTTAGTATGGTGTAAAATGGAAAGAAATCTCATTTTAAATTTGCATTGCCTCAAAGAAACGATTTAAAGTCAAGAGGCCAAAGTAACCCACCACTTTGCAATAAACGCTTTCATTAAATACGAGTAATATTATTTCCTAAACTGACCACGTAAAGGCAAAATTATATTGAGCACAAGTGCCTAAGGGGGAAATTGAATTGTAATTTTCTTAAGAAATGAATTAATTAACAAGCTGACCTTTAGATTGGAAAATTAAGCAAAAGGAAAAGCACGGTTTTGCCTCATTAAATAACTGAACGTAAGGCCATACATTAA